GACCACTGGCCTTCTTGGCCACAAGGGGATGTTGCTGGCTCATAGGCAACTTGTTGTCCACAGATGCAGCAAGGTAGGCCAGTAATCAGAGCTCCTGTCTTAAATTGCCTGATATGGCTCAACTCCTCTGCAGGACTGGAGTTCCCCATTCTGAGGACCCTTCCCTAGGTGGTACAGGGCAGGCAGGCAGAGCAGCAAGCCACACGCCCAGGATTCCTGGTGACAGCTCTAAGCAGTTTGGGACAGGGAAAGAAGGGGAAGAGAAGGAGCCTCACTCGGAGCCTCTTGAGGCAGGCCCAGGTCCAGCGCGGCGTGTGCGGCGCCCAGGGCGATGCCGTTGACAGGCGAGCCACAGTCCGTGAGGACACCCAGGCAGGAGGACGTGCCGCAGTCCCACAGCCGGGCCGTGCCATCTCTGGAGCAGGAGAGGACATTTCTGCCCCGGTCCACAATGGCAGCGTCCAAAATACCTGCACCAAAGCAAAGGCCACCTTCAGACGGACGGCACACAAGGCAGACAGACAAAGCATCTCATTTCTCAAAGCCAGCTCAGCCACAAGTCCCGAGCTGTCCCCAGAGTGCCACCAGTCACACATGGTCAAATTGTGGGGTGCAACGTGGGGCAGGGAGCCACAGCAGTGGAAGGCAGCAGCTCCCAGCAAACCACAGCTGAAGCCACCACCTGGCACAAGCCCAGGATATTAACAATAAAACAGCTGGCAGCACCTCGCCTCAGATTGAGGCAATGTCACAGACTGCTGCCGAGCTTCCACCTCCAAAATTAACCTCCACCTTGGGCAGAAAACAGTCTGGCCCAGCACTCTTAAAGTGTTGCTAAGTCCAGCTCTGGATAATGTTTCAGTATTGGCCCAGGCTGCCCAGGGAGGTGTTGGAGTCCCCAGCCCCGGAGGGGTGCAAAAAATGTGTGGACGTGGCACCTGGGGACATGGTTTAGTGGTCATGGTAGCGTTGGGCTGATGGTTGGACTTGCTGATCTTAGAGGTCTTTTCCAACCTTAATGATTCTGTAATCATCCCAAAATTTGTGTGGGGCAAGCAGCATGGGTTATGCACCTACAGCAACATCAAAAGCATTTTTTGCAGGTGCAAATGTCCCCTGAATACTTCATGTCACTGTGGGCTGTTGAGTCTAGATCTGAAAAATGACACAGCAATTTTTTGGAAGGGAACGGTCAGATGGTGAAGATTTAATTGATGCCTCCCCTACAGAAGCAGTGATGAAACGGGACAAGTTCACATGGCAGGACAAGCCCAAGCAAAGTGGCTGCAGTCATTTGGGCTGGAGTCATAGCTCCAGGACAGGTGTAAATCAGAGTAAAATGGGAACCTGCTTAAGCATTATGTATAAATCCACACTGCTTCTGAACAAGGGGTCCTGGAAACCAAATCTTCCCTCCAGAGATTGACAGAGGTTCTGTCCTGGAGTGCTCACAGCTCTCAGCAGCCTTTCTGGGTGGCTCCTTCTCCACCCCTTGGAGTTCTTCTCTAGGATTAAGGCAGTGTCAGCTGGAACAGCACTGAAGTCACCACGTGAAAGTGGACAGTGCATCCTCTAGACCAGGACACAAGGAAGGTGAAGAATTCTCTCTCCTTTTTAGTAGCAAGACTATCAGGAGGGGCACAGATGAACATTTGCCCTCAGTACAAGGGTGAACAGGCTTGTTCCAGCCCTTCTTAAGAAGTAAGCCACTTCAGTATCCTTGTGGCTGCTCTCGCTGTGCCTCACTTTCTACAGCACATGCCCTTGAGGCAGGTAACTGCCTGCTTGAGCTCTGCAAGTCCATCATAAGCTGCTACACACTCTTCTGGGCAAGAAAAAAAAACAAAGGAAGAGGCTGTGGTGCAACTTGAGCTGAGCAGGATGATGTGGGTAGAAGAGACACTCCCAGGACAGGCAGCAAGGCTACCGAGTGGCAGGCTGGAGCTCTGAGACTGCCCAGCAGGAGCAGAACACCTCCACCTCTGGCAATCACACCGGGCTAACGGGTTGTACCCTCCCTCTTTTTACCTTAATTAACAAAGAAAACAGAAGTTGGTGAAGAGAAACGGTTTCACCTGTCTAATATAACAACTATCCCTTTTTATTCATGCTCTAGGAACTTGAAAAAGATATTCCAGTCATCTACTGCAAACACAGAGCACATAGAGCAGCAGGCGGGTGGCAGAACATCAGCCCTCGGGTGCAAGGTAATTACACAGACAGCAAATCCACCTCTGGAAAGCCAAGTACTCCGTACCTCCTTTGTGACCTTTAAATGTCACTACGCAGCTGGCATCTTCTGCTGACCAGACCTTTAGCTGGGCGTCCATTCCCCCACTCAGAACCACGAGGCCCGATGGGAAAAACCTGCAACAATTCACATCATACACATGGCCTTCCAATAGTCTCTGGAAAAACAAAGAACTATGTGCTAGTGCCGTCGTTAGCACCCTCACACCCAGCAATTTTCAAGCCCTCACACCAGAAAACTCGTTGCTCCCATGTGGGCAGAGGACTGAGCTCAAACCCTCTGGGCCTGTGTTCTTGCCATGGATGAATTTCAGGTGGTTGAAGAGGTCACCGGGACACTTGGAGCCTCCCTCTGCCATTTGAGCAGCCAACACCACAGCACAGGATTCCACATTTGTTTCTAACAACAAATGAATGTCTTTATCCTCTGCCAACCATGCAGCTGACAGGTCAAGCTCCACAAGAAGCACCTTAGCTGGGAAGTCCCTGCCCGTGAGGTGGTTACTCCAATCATCGTCTTTTTTCCTCACCTCACCTCTAGTGCAGAAGGAATCCTGAGCTTGCACCATGCAGGTGAGGAGCTCTCCGATACCTTCTGCACTCCAGCTGTCACTTCTAACTACCCAGTCTCATTTTCACCCCAGGATTCCTCTCTGGATTGTGAAGCATCATTTCCCTCAGAAGAATTCATGCTTTGCAACAGACTTGAAAATAAAACATCCAAGATGTCAAATTTCAATCTGTCTTTCAATCAAAAGCCAGGTTCTTGCCTGCCCTAGGCCACACTGTGGGAAAAGCCCGACCAAAGTCATGGCCAAATGACTTCAGGAATGTCACAGACAACACACAACATCAAAGCTCTTACTCTTATTTCTCCATTTGCAGCCTGCCAGATTTTCATGGTCCCATCTGTGCTGGTAGACACGCCGAGCCCTCCTCCACTGGAAATATCAAGACAGGTAATCTGCAGGAGGAGGAAACCACCCAATGTTAGCTTCATATGACCCTGTAAATAAGAGTGTCTGCTCAAGAGTCTGACTCTGTACTGGGAGAGACCTGCTAAGCAGATTATTAATGGTTGGACTTGATGATATGTAATGGTTTGAAACCTGCTGCCCCTGGTGGGTGGAGATCTGAAACCCTAAACCAGGTACAAGCCTGAATGAAAGGGGCGTACACCTGTCCTATTCCCACTCCCCTTTTCCTGTCTTCGGGACTTCCTGCCAAGGTCTATAAAAGGGGTGAGAAAGGCACACCTCTTCCTCTTGCTCTTGCTCCTTTGACCTTGCACCTGGGCACACGCTGCTCTGCTGCTCCCTGTGCTACACGTGGCCGTGGCCATCTTGGAGACCTGGGCCTGATCTACAGACTCTTCCCTGCCTCCATCCACGTCCAAGGATTGTGCATCCAGCTTCAATCCACCTCAATCCAGCGAGATCCAGCACCGGGGAGCCTCAGCACAGCATTTGGGTTTTGTATATTTGGAAGTTTAATCTTCCTTGCCTTGTTGTTCCTATAACCCCCCTTACCCTGTTAAACCCCTACCCTTTTTCCTTTCCGTGCCCTGTTTAAACCCCTTCCCTTCTTCCTTTCTGTTCCCTCTTAAATAATACATTTCATTTTGTTAATTTTCAATTTGGTGCAAGGTTTTCATTACCCCTGCCTTCCTTATTTACCTCTCTATCTGGGAAACTGAGGGATAAGGGAGGTGGGACACAGTTCTGCCTTCTAACCGGGACAGAACATGATCTTAAAGGTCTCCTCCAAACAAAACAATTCTGTGACCATTCAGTGCTAGGATCTCTCCAAGATGTATTGCCAGGTTCATTTAACACACCCCAAAGAACTTCCATGCTCCTAGCAAAAGAGTTTTAGCCCAATAATATCCTAATGTTTAAGCAAGGACTTCACAGGCTCTCACCTCACCCGCTCAACATTTTGTGAGATACTAATTAAGCCTTTAAGAAATCAAAACCCAAGTGGATCCCGAGCACTGGGCTTTATTTCTAGAGGGCAAGGGCAGCATAAAAAGAAAACCTTCTCAATTTATTTCTTTACACAGATTGCTGCATTCCTCTTTCAAGAGCAAGCTGGTCATCTGGGCTGACCCACAGCCAGGGCTCAGATGGGCTGGGAGACTGGAAGGAGGCACAAAGCACCCCAGAATTCTGGGAATTGCCACCAAATTTGATAGAGACATTGTTAATCTCTGCCTGTGACACTGCAGAGAGCTGCAAAGCAGGAGAAAAGGAAATGCTGAGTCAGGAGACTGCACAGGCAGCATCTGTGTCTCATGTTTACCCCAGGGGATGCAGAAATTTGTATTTTTCCAGCAACTCTGATGTACAGGTAGAAAACTAAGCCAAGCTCACCCATGCTAGCTTGAGGTGACTGGTAAACTTGAGAGCACCCTGTCTCATAGGCCCACATGATACGGAGCCTTGGAGGAGACCTCTGGAGATCATCTCATCCAACCCCCTGCTCCAGCAGGTCACCCACAGCAGGGTGCCCAGGATGGCATCGGTGGGTTTGGGATCTCTCCAGAGCAGGAGACTCCACAACCTCTTTGGGCAGCCTGCTCCAGGCTCAGCCACCCTCACAGCCAGTGCTTTGTGCTTTTCCTCATGAGTTAGAAGATTTAAATAAGAACACCAGGTAATGGTTTGGCTGCTACAACAGCGTACATTTACTTACATACTGGTCAGAAATATGTTGGTTACTTGAGCATTTTATGTAACAAGCCAATCTGTGGTAATTTGCTCCCCAGTTTAAAAAAAAAAAAACCCAGCCAGTGAAAGTCATTGGGTCATAGAATCATTAAGGTTAGAAAAGACCTCCAAGAGCATCAAGTCCAATCATCACCCCAACACTACCATGACCACTAAACCATGTCCCCAGGTGCCACATCCACACATTTTTTGCACCCCTCCAGGGCTGGGGACTCCAGCACCTCCCTGGGCAGCCTGGGCCAAGGCCTCACCATTCCAGCAGGAAGGAACTCTTCCTAATCCAATTGAAACCACCCCGGGGCAACTTCAGCCCAGTGCTTCTCAGCCTGTTGCTGTTTCTTTTGGGAAAAGTCTCACTGACATCTGACATCTCCCCAGATTTTCAGGAAGGATTTGTCAACAGGCAAGGCCAAGCTCAAGTGCTCAGAACAAGAGGCAGCAGGTGGAAAGAAGCACTGGAGATTTGTCCACACACCAGCTTTACACTCACCTATCTACTAACAGATATCAATTCATCTGCTTTCCAGTGGAGACATCTGCAGTGCAGCTCTAACCCATGACACCCCTTTGCCAGCAGACAAAACACTTGGGCCTGCATTTCCATTCTGCTGTGCTTTGCACATCAAGTCCACTCACCCCCCAAAAGGGCAGCTGGGGACTCTGACGTAGCACAGAGCTCAGAGAAGCCTGGATCAAAACCAGGGTGGGCAGCAGGAGTAGGGCAGGGATCACTGCCCTGTACTGAGCACTGGGGAGGCCACAGCTGGAGTACAGGGCTCAGTTTGGGGCACCACAGGACAAGAAAGACCTTGAGGGGCTGGGGTTGTTTAGTCTGGAGAAGAAGGGGCTCAGGGGAGACCTTCATGTGCTCTACGACTCCCTGAAAGGAGGCTGGATCCAGGTGGGGGTTAGTCTCTTCCCCAAAGTATCCAGTGACAGGACAAGAGGCACTGGGCTGAAGTTGCCCCAGGGAAGGTTTCCATTGATTCTGAGGCAGAATTTCTTTCCTGCCAGAGTGGTGAGGCCTTGGCCCAGGCTGCCCAGGGAGGTGCTGGGATCCCCAGCCCTAGAGGGGTTAAAAAAAAAAATGTAGATGTGACACTTGGGGAAATGATTGAGTGGTCCTGGTAGTGTTGGGTCGATGGTCGGACTTGATGCTCTTGGAGGTCTTGTCCAACCTTAATGACTCTATGAAGTGATTCACCTGGCTCCAGAGCTCCATCTCAGCAGAGCCTCAATTCCTCTCCCCCCAGCTGCAGAGGTGCCATCACCTTCACAGCACTCTGCACTTGGACTGATACCCCTTTGCAGCTTCGCCTTCAGCAAGCGACCTTCCAGCACTCTCACCTGGGTTCACCACAACAATTTATTCCCTCAGTCACAAGACCTGGGTATTAAAACATCTCCAAGAACCTTCAGGGCAGCCAGCTGTACCTGCAGGCTGCACACTCCCTGGTTTCTTGGGTCATTTTCACATAGGAGTAAGCATTCAGCACAGACTACTTTCCAGCAAAGCCAAGTTCTGGGCATCTTTTCAGTGTAAAACACAAGAAAAGATATTTCAGGTCAGAGTCAGCCTTTCTGCATCACTGCCCAGCAAGCAGCTGGGCCCCCAGATCAATGGGGGTGCAATAAGAAATAAGGACATTCAGGAAACAGAGGGGGGCTGCTCTTAAATAAGTGAGAACTTCCTACAGTTTATTTGATATAAGCCAGGCCTTTCTGGTCTCTGAATTTCCACCAGGTGAAAAAAACTGTAAGCCACAGGACAGACTAGAGGCAGCCAGAGATGAACAGCTCAGCACCTGGAGCTTCATATTTTAATTTTGGGTTTTGGCACAATGGTCAGGGACTTGTGAAAGTTCCCAGTCACTTCCAGTTACTTCCCACCTGCTTCACAAGGCTACTTACACTTTTCTGATGAATTCTAGAAAAGGTTGTGTATGGGGCCAGGAACTTCGTGGACACATTCTCGTTAGGACAAGAAATGAGAATGCTTTTCTAGAGGGGGAAAGAGAGGAGGAAAGGAATTAGAAGTGCTGTCAGACCCCCTGAAATGGGGGCTGTCGAGGCAGGACTAGGACCCGGGCCCGGCTGCGCCCTCTCAGAGCCTGAGGACAGATGGAAGGTGCAGTGCCCAGCCCATCTCCCCAAGATGGAAGCCTCAGGTGGCCAAGGAGGGTCACCGTGGCCTGGCCAGAACAGGCAGCCCCAGCCCGACGACTGGGTGCCACGGAGCAGCTCCAGGGCACGGTGCAGGCAGGAGAGCTGTCCAGGACCACGCAGGGGACCGGGGGAGGGGTTCGGCTGCTGTGAGAGCACCTCCCACCCCCCGCGGTTCCCGGCCCTGGCACCTCGGTGACCTCCCCAACCAGGAAGCCCTCGGAGGCCGCGATGTCCGGGAGGCCCTCGGTGCTGAGCCCGCGGCGGG